GTGTATGTGTACCCAGGCATGCATTTTGTAGGTGTTTGTATGTGTGTAGACACCTGTGCACATTCATGTCAAAGCCAGAGGTGTTTCGTATTTTCCTCACTCGCTCTTTACCTTGTTTTTTCAGACACTATTTTACTGAACCCAAAGCTCAGTTGGATCTCCTCCTACCATACCTCCCACAAGCTAGGGTTTATGCATACACAGCTACAGCCATGCCTGGCTTTTTACATGGGTGCTTTCCTTCCTAATTTAGGGATATTCCAAGGAAGAATGTCTTTAGACATCTGATTTGATAGGCAGGTAATAGGCACATAGATCTTTTATGTCTCCAATCCTCAAATAATATCCCTAATAATTCTCAAGGAACAAATGTAGCCATCTTGAAAAGAATGCATAGCTCTGGATTCAGGCTAATCTAGGTTCATATCTGTGTTTTACTACTCAGGGTAGTAAATTTGTGCCAATTTGGGAAATCTGTATAGCCTCCCTGTGTTTTAGAAGAGGGCATTCAATGGTTAAATATAAAATGTTGAATTCATTCCAGTAATTTAGTCAACTCCTTAAGCACAAATGACATTATATTGCAGCTCTCCTCAGGATTGGATAGGGGAGGGTGACATATGTTAACAATGGTCTCCCTTCCTGTTAGTCTTCCAACACTAATAGGAATTATAGTGGTTTGTTGACCTGAAATTGGCAATTAAAGCCAGGCTGGCCTTAAACCCATGATCCTCCTGGTCAGCTTCACTACTGCTGGGATTACAGGCATGTACCACCATGCCAGTCTCTTGGAGGAGTTTTTTAATACTTAGCTCTTTACTCTTTTAAACTGTAGACCCTAGCAGCATGCTACATTGGAGTTAGGCTTTTAAATACACTCTTATCATTGCTCTCTATTGTAAATCACTTTGTGTCTAGCTTAGATATTATGTGTACATTGTTTTATTGTGCATATTGCAAGTGCTTTGTTATCATTACAAGTAAGTGTTTTAGGTCAGATTTTATTTTTATTTTGCTAGAAGTGTTAAACATAAACAGGCACTTAGATGTTTTTTGAATGAATAAATCTCACTAGTACACTGAATTCTTATGTTCATCAGCTCTCCATTATTATAAAAATACCTGAAATAATGAAATTACAAACAGAAAAGTCACAGTTCTCGAGCTTTTACCCTTTGCCTTTAGGAGTAGGGAGGGTGTAGCACACCTGCACTAGACATATTACAGCAAAGCCACTCACCCCGGAGCTGGGACAAAGACAGAGAAGAAGAAGTGAAGCCAAGATTCATAATCTCCTTCCCGGGACACTCTCCTGCCTAATTAAAAGCTCCAGCTATGTCTGTCATTAGTGAATGGTTTGCTTCTGCTACATTCTTTTGCCATTACATTCCGAATAATTCCAGGCCCAGAAACAACATGGACTGCAGCCTCTGTATCTGTGAGCCAAAATAAAGCCTTCCACTCTGAAGTTATGATTAGTTTTGATCCTTGCAACATCCCTATTGCATGTCTAGTTCATGTCTAGGTATTTTACCACCGTGACAAGAGTCATAGAAACCTCAGATGCTGTTTTGTTTTTATTCCTCCTGTACCACAGCGTCTCTCCAGCCCTTTATGCATGTCTAAGCTGCCAGAGCCAGTTCTCAACAGTGTAATACTGTCTTTAAAAGGCTTTAATCCAGTAGCTTCTAGATGATACAGGAAATCACACAATGTAGCATATATAAATTTTCATTTGTTCACTTTGGGCCATGATTGATTGTAGAGTTATAATTGAGAGCATAAATACTGAATTGGTGTGACTAATGTAAGACTGAGGTATTGGGGTAGGAGAATGTGTCAAAGCCCTCAAGAAAATGGAGCAAGATCCACTATAGGAAATAGGAGCTCACTGAATGTAGCAATGAGAGTAGAATTCAAGAGGAAAGCCCAGAGAAGAAGTTGTCAGGTCAGCAGGTATGCACTGTGGGGGAAATATTGACTCCATGGTGGTGCATGGAGTTGGTGGTTCCATCGACTTCTCGGGGGAACTAGACATGCAGTAGGGATGTTGCAGGGATCAAAACTGATGGAAGCTGATAGGAATTTGCCTGCCCTCGTGTCCCATAGGTTGGAGAATGTGGACAAATAGGAGATATTTTGAAGAGGTATTCTCAAGGGGGACGATGGACCAACATAAGCAATTTGTATGGTAAGATAAAGATGTTCTCTGGAGTTGGCTTTTCACATCTGCTTTGTGAACTTGGGTGTAATAAGTCCATCAGAATGTTAGTGTGTAAAATGTGGTAAAGTTTCTTAGCTCACAGTAGGTATTAAACGATAGCTTCTTTTGTGGGAGATGGGAAGGTAGAGGGGGCGCAGGAAGGACTTCCAGATTTCCTGTTTGGACAGTTAAAAGAGCTAGAATAACTTGTCTGGTTTTTAGACAGATTGCCTCTGAGGAATTTGGGAATGTCTCCTGACAAGAGTGAGAAAGTGACACTCATGGGAGATAGCTGAGTGGAAGGGACAGAATTGGGAAGCCTTAGCTTATACATGACAGTCATGCAGAAGAGATCACCCTTACAAGTAGGTCATCTAAGAAGCCAGAACCCTTCAGAGCAGCATGGGATCTGTAGACGAGAGAAGAAGCCTAGCAAGGACCGTGGAGTGGAGTGTTGAGATGGAGGGAGATCAGTAAAGTACAGGAGAACTTGAGAAGAGTGACCCGGGGATTAGAGTACAGCTAAGTTGAAGAATATCTTTATGAATAAATGAATTGAAGTAAATTGGTGTTACCAGGAGCAGACATACCTTACTGTCATGAAGTGTTTGAAGACCATCTGTCTATCTAAAATGTATTTCTGTATGATCTTGAAAACATACCTAGCATGCCTAGCACAACTTTTTTTGTTATAGGTGACTAACTACCAACCTGCACTTCTTAATTATCCTAAATGGCTTATAATAGCTTCCAAGGACCAGAATTTTGCATGACATTTTTAAGTGAACTGCATAGGTACAATGCTTTAAACAAGAGAAGAAACACATACAGCGTAACAAAAATAACCTTAAATTTGTATCAGTATGTGAAAATTCATACCAGTGTAAAATATTTGAGACTAGTAGTTGCTCTTTAGTCTAAAAGTAGATTCAGTAATCTACCCTTTTATTCTATCAGTCCCATATCTCCCTTTTTTCCTTTCAGAGAGATCCTTGAATCTAACCTCCCTTGCTTAGTTTTCTTCCTTACTGTGACCAGTAACAATTTGCAACCAACCCCCCCTAAATGATGACAAACATCCATAAACCACTGAACAACCAAAAACCACCCATCCACTTCTTGGGAATATGGGTGTCATATTCTTCAAATTACTTTCTGTTGTCTGGGGGTGACTTCCTGTTGTCTGGAAAAATTGGGCCAATGATCAAGCCCTCGGATAACTGGCTCTATCATTTGTCGTGTAGTATCTGTATAATGGGAAGGTTCAGGGCTTATTTAAAGTTCTGGCTGGAGTAGTGTGTGAGTCCAGACTATCTCAGGTAGCAGTTTTGAAGTTGTTCTAGATGCAGAATTTTGAGGAGACCACCACAGAGGCATTCTGAGAGGCTGGATCACCTGGGCTACTTGTCTTCATTGTTGTCTGGTCCTTTTGTTCTGAAAACACACAAACTTTTAAAGGTCATACATATATTTGCATTAACACAAGTGTGGAATATGCTGAGTGCACAAGTCAGCCAAAGATGATTTTGTTGTTGTGGTTGTTCTGTGTTTGAGCAGGGAGCTGCTGTGTCCATGATACAGTGGGCATTTTTACCTCACACCTGGGCTGCTCAGAGACAGCTTTATCAGGCCCTATGTGTATATTCAAACCTCTACGTTGGATGCCATGTGTCTTCCTCAGTCCCACCAGCCAGCTCCCAAATAATAACACAGAGACTTCTTGTTAATTGTGAAAGCTCAGCCTTAGCTTAGGCTTGACGCACTAGCTCTTATAACTTCAATTAACCCATTCATTTTCACCTACATTCTTTCATGTGGCTCATTACCTCATCTCTTTGTACTGCCTATGTCTGCCTGGCAACTGTGCCTTCTTTCCAGAGTCCTCTCTGTCCCTGGAAATCCTGCCTATGCCTCTTGCTTGGTCATTCAGCTATTTCTTTTTTTTCTTTTTATTACACCAATCACAGCAAATACATCTTCACACAGTATACAAATATCCCACAACACTGTCATTTTACATAGTTTCTAAGAAAGCAAAGTTAGTATATACTTGAGACATAGTCTAAGGAGTAAAAGCAAAAGCATAAGAAAAGACTAAAGTTAAAAAAAATCTGTTTGTTGTAGTGACTGTCTATATGTCATTGTTGATTTTGCATTTAAACCACTTAGGATGGACATGGTGGTGGTAACCCAAGCCTTTAGAAGGCTGAGGCAGGACTGTAAGTTTGAAGCCAGCTGAGTTATGTCGTGATCTCCAGGCCAGCCTATGCTTTGTAGCAATGCCGCGTTTCAAAATAGTAAAGGAAGAAGACATTTAATTCTGTGATGTACTCAAATACTAAAAAGTAAAACAAAAATTGTCATCAGTAAGGAGGTGTTTTCTTGGTTGGAAATGAGAAATGCCCATAGTACTTAATCCTTTCAGTAGTTTTTTTTTTTTTTTTTTAATTATTCCTGTATTTTCTTGGCATATGAGGTAATATTGTTGACTATAAGTAATAATAATGGTTTGTATTTATATAGCATTTTCCACCAGTTGTCTCATGAGTCCTCACAGTATTTCAGTCAAGTGGTTATGTTTGTATATAATCCCAGAAGCTGGAAAAAGACAAACCGAGTGGCTAAGATAAATACCGTATGTTTTGGAAGGGTTAGCTTGGTATAAATCATTAACCTCTTTGTTTTTTATTCATTGCTAAGAAACCAACGTTTTAGAACTTTAAAATGTCCACATGGATTTCTTTCTTTAGGAATAGGAAGCATGCTAACAGTCTCTTTTTCTGTCTTTTTCTTTTAGGTCAGCAGCAAGGACAGGATGGAGTGAAAGTCCAGCAAGCCACTATAGCTCCTGTAACAGTGGCAGTTGGAGGGATTGCTAATGCAACGATAGGTGCTGTTAGTCCTGACCAACTCACACAAGTGCATTTGCAGCAAGGCCAGCAGACCTCTGATGCAGAGGTGCAACCTGGCAAGAGGCTTCGAAGAGTCGCCTGCTCGTGTCCTAATTGTAGGGAAGGAGAAGGAAGGTAACTGCTGTTCTCAGCCTGGCTCTCTGGAATTGTTAAGCAGTCATTGGCCACTCGTAATCACTGGAGCCTCCTGAGCATTCTCTCTCAGAAGCTGGAATGCAATGTTAAGTTGGGTTGTTTGAGGAGCAGTCCTCTGCTTTGTGGTTTATAATTTCTTAATCAATGAATTTCTGTTTTCACTTATTAGGCAAAAACTTTGAACACCTTCATTGATTTCAAGCTAACTCCTGTGCCATGCCATTTACCTGTTTCCCGTATACAGTGCAGTAGTTTTGAATATATCACAGTTATACAACTGTCACCACAGTGTTTTAAACCACCGTTGTCATCTTCAAAAAAAGTTCTGTCCCCTAAACCCCTCAGCTCTACTAAACCAATTTCTGTATTTATGGATTTTATAATACTGGATATTTCATACAAATGGAATCTTACAGTGTCTGAATGTTTGTCATGGCCAATCAGTGCTTAATTTCTTCTGTGGACAAATAATACCCCATTGTGTGGAATATTTAGCATATACCCTTGATACACAGCTGAACTCTTTCCCTATTAATCATTATGGCCACTGTATCCACATATATAAAACTGTGTGTGTGTGCAGACATTTAGTTTTTATTTCTCTGTCTGTCTGTCTCTGCCTCTCTGTCTCTGCCTCTCTCTCTGTCTCTCTCTGTCTCTCTGTCTCTCTCTCTCTCGCTCTCTCTCTCTCTCTCTCTCTCTCTCTCTCGCTCTCGTGTGTGTGTGTGTGTGTGTGTGTGTGTGTGTTTATGGAAATAGAGTTGCCAGGCCGTGTGCTGATTGTGTAATTCTCTCTCTCTCTCTCTCTCTCTCTCTCTCTCTCGTGTGTGTGTGTGTGTGTGTGTGTGTGTGTGTTTATGGAAATAGAGTTGCCAGGCCGTGTGCTGATTGTGTAATCATTTAAGGAACTGCCCTACTATTTCCTAAAGTGGCTGCACCATTCTCTATTCCCACCAGCTCTGTGTGAAGAAGGTTCCAGTTTCCCCTTAGAATTGCTAGACCTTGTCATTATCTGATTTTTTTTGTTTTGCTTTGTTTTTTTTTTTTTCAAGTCAGCTTAATAGTCAATCAGAAAGGGCTACCATACACTGTGTGGTTTTGATTGAAATTTTCTCAGTGATTAGTGATGTTGATAATCTTTTCATGTGGTTTTTGATCGTTTGTGTATCTTTGGAGAAATGTGTATATATATATACAACCAAACATGGAAAAAGGATATATATTCTAGATATAAAAATCTCACCAGGACATGATTTGGAGATATTGTTTCCTAGTTAGTGTGTGGAATGACCATATACTGTCAAGATCGTGACTTTCAAAGCACAGAATCTTTTGACATATAATTTGTTTGTCATTATGAAGAATCCATTGCCAAATCTAATGAATGTTCATAGTTTTGTTTTTTGAGTTTTACAGATTTTACTCTGAGATTTAGATAGGATAATTCTTGGTTCCTTTTTCTAATGTGGTATGAAGGATGTGAGGTGGTACTCTGATGGGAATTGATTTGTTTCGTTAGTATTTTTATTTTTTAGAGTGTAAGCTTAGCATTTTTTAAATTTATTCCTGTTAAATATTCCTGATGTTATTATAAATGAGGCCATTTTTTATTTCTCATTGCAAGCATACAGGATCACATTGGCTTTTGTGTACTGATCTTACATTGTGGAGTGTTGATAATTTCTTCTTGGGGCCTTCTTAATGGTTGCTTAAGAGTTCTATATCTACTGTGCTGAAGAGATGGCTCTGGCTGCTGGCAGCTTTTCCAGAGGACTCAGGTTTGAGTCCCATCACCCACATGGTGGCTTACACCTGTCTGTAACTCCATTCCCAGGGGATCTGACACCCTCTTCTGGTCTAAGTAGTCATTTGCCACATGTGGTACACAGACGCATGTGCAGGGAAAGCACACATAAAAAAAAAAAATTGAAGATTTCTGCAAACTAGAAATACACATTGGAAAAAAAATGACTGCAACTGGTTGGCTGCATGTAGAAGAATGAACATACATCCCTATTCATCACGCTACACAAAACTCAACTCCAAGTGGATCAGGGACCTCAATATAAGACTTGATATCTTAAATCTGACAGAAAAGAAAGTAGGGAATAGGCTTTAACTCACTGGCACAGGAAAGGATTTTTTGATCAGAACACAGATAAAGACCACTGACTAATAAATGGGGCCTCTGGGCTGGAGAGACATGGAAGCTCACAACTGTCTGTAATTCTAGTTCCAGAGAATCCAACACCCTCTTCTGGACTTCACGGGCATCAGTCATGCAGGAG